GAGGAATATAGTTCGTGATCTCCCTTGTACAGTACTCAGTCATCGAAAATGAAAAGTCGTTCAGGCGGAAGACATTTCCATGTAAATCCGCGTCTTACTGCCTTGTACCACTTTTGGCTTCTGTGTCGACGAGTAACTCGTAGCGGGGCTTAAACTGATCTCAAAATTCCTTTCATCGTTCCGTCGACTTACATAAGCCTCTCCATCAAGCAAGATTGAGAGAACTCCTCTTGCAATACAGAGGTCTTATTAGCGCGTCGCGGCGTAGAGACCCGTAAAATTTAGGACATCTCCAGCCTTACCAAGGTCTGCACGATATATTTCACTGATGGGACTTCGGGGAACAATTATTTCTATCCTGGTCCCTTCCGCTGTTATTTCAGTCTTCCCCACGATGAATTCATTGAAGACTTTATCGCTGCATCATCCGCTGCGAGTTCCTGATTTGACAAGAACGTTGAAAGTTTAGTAAGACGGAACTCGAAGCAATGCATGTGTCAATACATTTTTATTTTTATTACATTTTTACAATTATATTTTTATTTTTATTTAATAGTTTTTTTTTTTTTTGTAAAATTAAGATTAATACAAAACATTGCTATTTTCGATTTCGCGACGTTTTGAAGCAATGTTAAAAATATTTATATATACACATATATATTAATTTAAAATTGCAGTTTTTTACCATTTAAGAATATTACGTTACTTGATGAAGATTATAACACAAACAGCAGAATTGAGATACGGTGTGGAGTTTCACAAGCGTGATATTAAATACTCTCGGTTAATTTATATTTGCTCCATGTACATGTTAACATTTTACTATGAGCGAGCGGTACAATCTATGTACACAAGTATGACAATTTCAGGATAATAAATTAATGCTCCCTCAAGAGAGCAGCGAAGTGGTAAAAGCCTCGCGCGTCGCAAATTGCTAGTTCTCATTATTATTGCTGCTGACCATGGCTAACATCCTCTATCCTGTATCCCGGTGATCGTGGCAGCACAGCGTTATTATGATGACCTGCGTTAAGCTAATGATAACTATGCTTTATGCGCTAACGAGCTTTAGTGTTCCCGAATCTGACCTAACTTACTCGTCTATCAAGACGACTGATATCTGTTTATCGCACTAATAAGTCTAATTTTCATAGACATGACGTAAACTTGTAAAACAACGCCAATAATTGTCAACAAAATTAGTCGATTACGCGATAAGTAATTATTGCATCTGTTTGCGTGTCCTTGCAATGGCGCGTCTTCTTGGAGTATTTCCTTTGTTACATTATTCTCGCTTGTTGTGGTGTATTCTAATATATCCATGCAGATTAAAGCTTCGGTGTACCGACTCAAAGTAAATTTAACCCGCATTTACGGCAAGCTGTACCGCGAAATTGGCGTTAAATTACTGTAATTAATTGCCACGAGTAAGCTACACCTTAGCCGTATGCGTCATTACTGTGTTTCTATACATAGAAAATTCCGTTATTTCTTTATAAATTAATGATGTAAGTAATAGTAATGAAACACATTTCTCTCAAGTTAGAATCAAGTTAGAATAGCGTTGATACGATTAATTAATATTATTAGTTGTTGAACTTTCTGGCACAAGAAGATTGATTTATCTTAAGAAGTTTTAGACTCTTCCTACAATAAACCAATAAAAGTAGCGGAACATAGTTTACATAAATATACATCGCTATTCAATTCGCTAAAATTTTTATACTGATGTAAACATTTGTAAAGAAGACACGATTGATTTATACATTTAGATCCAGTGAAAAATCAGAGGCAAAACCAATCATGTTAAAAAATTGTACGACAGTTGCAAAGCTATTTTTTTTTCTGCTGAATACAGCCAATATATGTATATGCGGGGTTAGCAACTTCATAACAGTAACGAGTTACCTTATACAAAAAACAACGGCAACGGTAACGTGTTCCTTCATAAAACTACCATTACCATTATTTTTTGTTAAATAAAATTCGGTATTGTTATTTAGAAAATAAAGATTTGTTACTTTTTTTGTTACTTTTAGTCATAAAGTGTGATATTAAATTTAAAAATTACATTACTTAATAATTATTAAAAATTTTTATTAAACATTGTTTTCGAACATTAATGTCGTTATTTAGAACAGTGCATACTTATATTCACTGCAAATATAATTTATGTTACATACTAGACAGATTTTTAGTATTGACAGTGACTATCAGAATACAGCCCAAGATATAAAGTACAAAACATTTTTTAATATTTAAATATCTATTATAAAATTTTCTAGCCAATTAAAAATAAAGTAGTCTATTGAATAATTATATAAAAGGAATAATAAGAAATTGAAATAAAACAACTGAATTCGTTACTGTTATCATAAAAATGCAACGACATTGCAGGTAGAAAAAAGTAACGATCGTTAAACCGAAAAAAAGTAACGAAAATGATAATAGTATTACAAGTGACACGCTCACATTTACATACTCTTTCTAACTCTGCATATATGTACGAGCTGATATGTATAACAAAATAAATTCCACGTAAAAATGTTACTCAACTGTTATTAAACAATTTACTCAATTGTTATTGTGCTAATTTTTAAATTGCTTTCTATTTGGATGCCATTGTTAATGCTGAATATAACGTTTTAATATTTTTTGCGTTAGGGAAAATATGATATTTTTCCACAATACTTCGCGCTTAATGTTGCACCAGCAGCAATAGCGGTAGAAGCTCAACCGCATCTTCTCCGTCCCTCGCATTTTCTCCGTTCCATTATACGTGGACGCGGATCATAATGTATTCGCTCGGTTTAAAGCATCATGAGCGTTCCGCGCGCACGAACGCGCTGGTCGCCAACGCCAAGACCGGGTATAACCCGGTGCGGCATGTACTGCCACAGAATTGGTGTTAAATTACAATTATTAATTGCAGTAAACAAGCTACATCGTAACCCGCCAGTTCGCCCGCTTATGTAGTCGCGTCATTTGCCTTTAATTCGGCGAACGGGTCGGCGCTATACGCGCTACCAGATTATTACACGGAAATTTTCCGGCGAAATGACGGAAATTATTTTAAAGCGGGCTAGCAAGAGTTCATCGTGTTTTCCTCGCGCAGAGCGTCTCGGTAAATATCCTGCAAGTTAATTTACTAACTGACGTTCTTAGGACAGTATTGATCAGCCAGAAGAAATTTTCTTGGGACATCTTGGAACTCTTAGAAGTTCTGGGCTCTCTTCGAAGCCTTAGGCTTTTTTAAGAAAGAAAGTAAGGATATACGAGACTGAGTAGAAATTTAAAATGCTGATGCTTTTACTCCTTTTTCAAAAAAAATTGGAAAATATTAGTCGAGTATATGGTTGAACGTAATTCACATCTCTTTCTCTCTCTCTTTTTCTCTTTACCACTGAAATATAAAACTACATATTTATAGAAGTTTAATTTTACAAGTTTATTATAAAAGCTTTTAAAGTTAAAAGTATAATAAATATTTCCTATTTTTTTTTACTATTGTATACTTTGAAATTATAAACATATTCGTGGAAATATACATTAATCATTAGGATTGTGTCTAGAACTAACCGGTTATTACTCTGCAACTCTCTCTACACTCTGTCGCAACTCTGAGTAAGTTGAACAAAACAAATGAAACGCTTTATTGTAAGAAAAACTTGTCAATTTCATTTAAATCGTTTGCGAGCCAATATGTGAGTATTATAAGTCAAAAAGCCAGTTTATAAGGGTTAGCATAAATATATCAACACTCTGTGTCGAAGAAAAAGAATTAAAAAATTAAAAACCCCTACAAAGTAGTGTTTTATTTACTGTGCTCGGCTTACTTAGAAAATAATAATCGTTTAGTTTAGATACAATCCTAATCTAGGTCACTTTGTACATTTAAGTTTTGATTGGAAAAGAATGTAATCGAAAACTATCGTGGCTTTTAAGTATAATAGACTCATCGTATAGACGATTGCGTGATTCACGATTGCCACTCGTAAAATTGTCAATTGATTGACGTCGTTTCTCAAAATATCATGTAGGTACGTCTTCACATTTTACCTCGAAATGTATTTTGCGATCGCTCCGCGCAACGGAACTATTTCATGTCGCGGATTCACGAGCATACTCCTGGCGAGGCACGAGGTTTATTGCAAGCGCGGCGACGCACGTGCAATGAAAAACGGGCAGTATCGTGTAAGCACGATAACGATTGCGTATCACTTACAACGATCGGCAGCATTTCATTCCGATTCGATACACAACGTTGCGTAAATGCAACGTTATTACTGATAGGTATTAACCACTGCGCCCGCACACATCTTGAAGCGGATTTATTTGCCATCATACATAACGTTTACGTTTACATTTTGATTCGATCGACGCTTATCCATGCTCTTATGTGCATTTAGAACGGGCGCTCTGGAAACCATCGCATAAATTTCTGCGAACTTAGCCTCCCGAATGCAATGCGCGTAGAATGCGCGGAATAGGATGCTGCGAGAATTCTTGAGATGCATCGACCGATCGAATGATTTCGCATTTTCCACATTTATGCACTCGTAAATGAGCCGTTGAATATATAATAAAATCCAGTTTACTCTCTCTCGTTGCAGCAACTTTCCGCATAATTTCATACAAAACATACGAAACTTGTTAGTACGCTTGATATCATTAAATAATCGTAAAGAAAAATTTATAATTACAATTATAATTATTTATAATTATAGTTGGATAGGTCTAGATTTTACTTTTTCTTTATATAATTTTTTGCTCATGAAACATGCATCATTCTTCGTCTCAAATTTCAGTCAATCGCCAGGCTTTTAACGGAAACCAATACCGACGCGGAAATGATTTTATCGCGACTCTCGTCGTCGACGGATTCTTTCCTTATATCGGCAATCTTGTACAAAACGGCGTACCTCTATGTATATTTGATGTGTCACTGATGGAGTCCATTACACAGCGAGCAGACTTTGAAATCTCTTTTTCCGTTCCAGTTCCGAGGTCGGTGTTACGGGAGCAATTCGAGGGTGGTATCGAGCCGGACGAGGCAGTGATGCAGGAGTTCGAAGAAGGATTCGACAGAGCGGACTTCAGAGCTGAATTCAGCCCCAGTCCAAATCTCGAAGGACCGCAGCCGCCACCACGCGACAACGTCTCTAGAAATTTTCCGACCGTTAGCTCATCTCCACCTCGCGCACGAACCAACAATGACGGTGAGTTCCATCTAGCGCTTTCCTTCTTTGTCTTATTTAAGAAAGTGCATGCGTTATTGTATCAAATTTAACTGCATGTACATATATTGTATAAATGTATACATATATATATCTAACGTTTCATATTCCATACAAAAGCAAGAGAATAATAAGTCAGTGATAATAAATCACACGTTTTAATGTTTAAGTATAGGTTTTAGATATTTTCTATATAATTTTATTCTTGTACATGAAGGAAACTCTTTTTACAAATCTGTGTTTTTCTCAAATTGGGAGAAATGTAATCACATATGTTTACATTAATATAGAGAACAATATACAACTGTGGAGCGAATGTAAAAAGAACATTACAAATTCACATGAATGTTCTACTTTATCTAATAAAAAGTGAAAAGCAAAAAGTAAAATTAAAAACAGATTTATTGAAAAATAGTATATATTTTTATATTATTTTTATTTATTTTGTCAGTTCTTTTTTCCCTTTCATTACCTCCTTTTTGGAAGAAAATGTAATACATTCATGATGTTGTATATCTACTTATGGTCAAGACTGCATATGTACATGTATATATATTCTGTTATATTACCTTATTCCTGAAAATGTAACAAAGTTGTTTTTGCGCGCGTAAAATTTTTTAACAAGCTAACTTGAAAATAATATCTATTTTCCGTCTATTCAGCAATAAATACAATATGTTCTCTTTACTCCGAGATGTTTTAATGTGTGAATGGCAAACGAAATTTTTGTATATATTATATGCAAATATTATTATATAAAATAGCTTCGCATGATCGTATTTTGGTATGCTTGTTTTTGCTCGTGATCGATCTGCCTTTGACACCGAGCGATGTGCGTATACATTAGACGGAAGTTGTATTCAGGTAATACGCGTGAGTGCTAAAGGCGATTAGCTGGCTTCCGTGTCGGGATTATGAAAATTTATTTCGGCAAGTTCTCCGCTCTGGAGCTTTATCCGAGCAGTTGATTAATTTTGCTCATTTATAAATAACCGCGTAATTGTATAATTACAAGCGGGTGACGAGGTAAATTATTATTTCCATGACTAATTAATCCCGGCGCGAGCGCCAGGACATCAACGTGGGGATCCATTTATACTTTACATTTCACTATGTCTACAACTGCGTTATCACGACGTATAACGCATTTTTACATAATAAAATTATCTTCTCATGAATTTGCGTGAAAAAGGAAATAATGGAAAGGTGAAGCCAAAAGCAAATGCTTATAACACGTTATCGCGGAACAATAGTATGAACAATAATATAATATTTAATATGTAATATAATAAATTACACTTAAATGACATTGTAACAATTGAACATTCAAATGGAAATTGTAGCTAGAATTTTTTGTTTTTCTGAGCTGCATTAATTTTTTTTTATCGCAGCGTTGACGAACGGCACGATGAAGAGGCATATTAAAGTCCATTTTTACGTTTCTATTCTTCTCACTGTAGTCAAGAGACATTTCGACGCATTGAAACGTTTCTCCGTTTCTTTTTTTTCTTCTTCGACGCTTCTATCGCATTGCGTGCTGCATAAAACGCGGAAGCAAAGCGTTCGTCTTAGAGTCACTCTCGTTGCCGGAAGTATCCGGATGTACGTAACTTTATATCCTGTATAGTAATGTCCGCAATGAAATTACTTACTAGCTCGATGAAAAGCACGTCCGGGCAGAGAGCAGTAGTATTCAGCCGCTTTATATTCACTTCGTCTGCAAGCGTTTTCTCTTTTGCTTTTATTTTTCACGCGAATTCGCCAGGAATGTTATACAGGACTGGCGTTATTAGCATCGCATGCAGCGAACGCATTTTTACGATCTTTTATTAACATCTCTTATTAATACTTTCAGCTTCGCATAATTTTTTCGTTCGATATTTAAGCCGTGGCGCGTCGCAGTGATGCAGCTCGATGCTCGACCCGCCACGCATCAGTGACGCGGCTCAGTATTTAGGCCAATGCACTCGAATGAGTCATCTCGATATTTATAGTCGGACGCATCTCGAGACGCATTTAAACATTTTCAGTTTGCCACGGCAGTTTTTTCGCTTTTGTTGTTACACCTGACTCTGTAAAAATACCAGAGTTTTGCAGTTATCCATTAGATATTGAAATTCATTACCAACTAACGGAATCAACGGACCGTTTCATCGGTCGGAAGGGTGAAACCAACTCATTAAAGCTCGGTGAAATTAGGTAAGTCGATCGGTTCAGAAGTTCGGCTTCAAAGATTGCCTGACCGGGCACAGTCCTGTAATTGGATATGCATTCACTTGAACACTCCTTGCTGACACCTTTGCTTCGTGGTCCGTTGAATCATTCGCTATTGCCCCCGGTTATTCACTTCAATAGCTTTAGCAAAGTGAAAAGCAATACAGAAAGATATGCATTAGAATAGTATAAAGGAAAGGTGCAAAGATAAATAGAGTACAAGGGAATTCATGAAACATCCGTTATTCTATTGAATGGAACACTCAGAATCCGACATTTAATTTTGTTACATTTTTACTATCATAACATAAATTATACGTAATGTTGAACGATAAAATTTTTATATTTTGCTAAGAGGAAGTCAAAATATCTACTTCGGTATCTCTACAGCCTTTATACGTAATATTCTTATCTACGTATTTATAGATTATAGCTAAAACAGGAATTCAGAAGCACATGTTCGAAGATAAAAATACCGATAAAGCTAAATTAGTTCGAAAGCAGATTAAATGTACCTAATAATATATCGATAATCTATTGTATTCAATTCACGTATAATATAGTTATGCGATGGTAATAAAATATCTTAGCGTACATAATACATGTACATGTATATATAATATAATATATTAATTGTTATCACATTTTGGTGAATATGTGTATTCGGGCAAACGAGAAATTCAATCTCGGAACGCAATATCGCGCTTCAGGTATTTATATCCTCGAACTACATTTGAGATGCTGGAATATTAATTAAAGGCACTGTAGCTGGTGGAAACACTGCGAATGAAAAAATGTGATAGAATAAAAATAAAAGAACTTTTATAGATTAGATAGTTTTAAACTCATGGCAAAGAAAGGTAAGGCGACTCACTATATTAATAAAAAAAAATATATAGCAGCTCTTCAAAAAAGAGTTATTGCCTTAGAGTCCACGCGACCTTTTTCAGTTAATATCCAAGTAGCTGTCAATAACTTTATAAATATCTTCCTTGCGCTCTAACGTGTTGTTGCTATCCCTTGAGTGCATTCTTTTAATTTTAGAAAATGCTGTACGCACACGCGTACTCACTTACTTCATAACGTCCATCTAGGTAATTATTCAGAAAGGAGAAAAATAAATAAATATGAATTAAATAGATTTATATAGAGTAATAAGCATCTATGTTGATTAATTTTTTATTTCCAATCTAGATCTTTTTGACATAAGCGAATTTCCCTCTTAAATATTTTTCTCATTTTTGCACAAAATCTAATTTTTATTAAATAAAGGTTTTAACATTTGTATTAAATAACTATTTGGTAATGTAATAGAAATATTGAAAAATAACTTTAAATTTGTCTACATTTTTTTAAAATCTTAGAACAGTAAAAAATGGATTGGATAAGAAAGATTCAAACGAAAGGAATAAAAATAAAAAGGTTTATAATATAGTTTTAGTATTGGTACAATTTAATGGAAGATAGAGAAATCATTAACAAATTATTCATTATTAATAAATTACTTTTATAATTGTATTAATGTCATAAAATGTTGCTAAATAGCACTATTCACACGAAAAGGTGTGTACTAACTGAGTGTAAATTCTAAACGATTTTCCTGAGCGAGAAAGAGGAGGCTCACCGTGTTTCCCCCTCGAGTTTTCGAAGGGTTATTCCGGGTTCCAGTTACGTGGCGCGGTCGGTGGCTTTAATGAGTTCGTCGACGAGGCGTGCATAATGCGATGCGCTAAGAGACCCTCATCTCTCATTGTCTTCGTTCGGAGACACCAGCGCGTAATGACTGCGCCGCGTGCGTCGCTTTGATGCCCGCCATAGATTATCGAAATTGTGTTATCGTCGTGCGAAATGAACTTAGGTATGTGAACGACATAATTGACTTAACAAGGAAAATGTAATGATTTATGTCATTAGTCTAGAATGTTAATTATTACGTTTTTTTAGCCTGATAGATACCATATTCCAGTTGTTTATGTATTTTTAAAATATGATAAACATTATTATAATTATATTTTTAATTCTTCGCAGATTATTTTAAATTTTACCACTTATACGTTTCTCTCTCTCTCTATCAATAAAAATTAATTTTATTTTTAGATATTTAAAGATTTTGAATTAAATTCGTAAATATCTTTAAAAAACATAATTAACTCAGTTAATCAAAAGAAATATAGTTTGATTTGAGATTGTTAAAATGCAACGTAAAATTTTCAAAATTGTGTTTTTATTCGTGAAAACAAAGGGCAAATAGACTATCAGTTTGCAGATTAATTTTTCATTAACGTTGATGGAAGAGAAAACAAGAGTGTAAAAATTCGAATAAAGGAAAATTGATAAAGTTAATTTAGTTTCTGGAGGAAGACAGGCTTAGGGTTATCTCGTGGATTATCTTGAGAAGAAGACAAATTTGCTTGAAATATGGTATAAAAGACGAAGAGTCCTTACCTCGTCGTCCTCGATCAAGGTTCACATGTTCTTCGGTCTCATCTCCTTTGTTCTCGAGAAAACCCCGGTCACGTGTAAACGCAATCAGACAGCGAGAATACGACGTTATATATATATATATGATATATGAAAACTTAACGCCCAGTTCGTTCGTTTAGCAGTTCTACTGATCTGTATAAATTGGAGAGACAGCAAAGATGTCTTAAAATAAAGAATGAGAGATGAGATCGAAGCAGAGAAGTCAATATCCTGTATTAAAGTTTACTATGAAATTTGTTACACGTCACGTAAAAGATTTGTGCAATCTGTTCATTAAATAAATA